TACAGACATTCAATTCCTTTTCTCTCTTATTCAGCTCTTTAACCTGATCTACATTGTGTTCTGTGCGTTTAAAAACATTCTATTTCGTAGTCGATAAATACGTTTACAAAATTTGCGCAAGTTGATAAATTACATTCTAAATATTACAAGTGTTTGAAATTTCCAATATTTTTGTTGTCGCCGTTTTCAAGATGTTTATTAGTGTGTGAAATTTCAAACATTTATCAATGTCTTTGTGTTTAGTTGATGTTTAATATATCGCACGCGTAAAAGTGTTTGATTTCCTGAATAACTGAAATTTTATGCAGATTAAATATTTTATTTTTAATAACGATTACAATGCAGTAATAAAAATGCTACATCAAGTTGAGTTTACACTTTGCAACAAAAAATTAATACACAACGGTGTATTTTGCAAGTTATAAATCAATTTTTGCAAAGTATAAACTCAACTTGATGGCAAGAAAAATACAGTAATGTTAAAATTGAATTTAATATTTTAATACAATTAATAAAGTTCATCTTTATAATTATGTTTGTACAAGTCAATCACATCTATGCATAAAAATTTTTAACTCAAATGCTTTTCTAATTGCATTTACTAAGTCAAACATTTTTCTCTTTTAACGTTTATAATTCAAACGCTTACGACGAACCAATTTTTAGTGTGCGTATACAGTGTACAATCGTACATTGTCGACAAATGTTTTAAGCGTTTCGATTTGTCTGTATAAAACAGAATGTCTCTTGGTGCAGAGAGCACATCGTAGATTAGGCGTTCACGCGGAAAAACACTTTTATTAAATCGGGATAGGAAACACAATTTTTATTTCGGACAACATTGCGAAACCGTGAATCCATTTATTATTTACACAAATCGATATTTAGTACAAATAATGGCAACAATAGACATGCAAAGAATAAAACGAAACGCATATTTTAGTCCAAGGACTATTTCGAACCCGAGTCAAACCGCAACACGCGGCACGGCGTGTGTCGGTTGCTCCTTTAAAAAGTTTTATTCCGCGAGAGCTTATTTCGTTGCTATTTTTATTTTCAATTCTGCAGTAAATTAAATCCGCCTTCCGCATCTTTGTACATTTCCTTTACATCGCAATCATTCTTTCTTACCATTTAGTTATGTTGATTCTTTATTTATGCCCGACGTTATTTTAACAATCTTATCCGCGGCGCCAGATAACTACTTTCGCAGTTTACTTCGCAACAGAGTAAATTCTTTGTCCACTTATCTCTTCCTTTTTCTTTTTACCCCCCCCCCCCTCCTCTCTATCGCCGAGACGCCCCGCGACGGGAGATGCCACACTTATGCTGCTTACAGTATATTTACTGCCAGATCGTAAAGGAAAGGAAAGGTTTTTCAGACCGATACATCGGCCTGAGCATTTTAGAGACGAGAAGTAGTAAACTCTTTTACGGAAAAGTGTCTCCGATAGTAACGACCACTAAAAAGCGACCATGCCACTTTGCCACGTACGGTTCTGGCAGAGCCAGACTATTCTCTCGCTAACGTTTCTCCAAAGCACACACTGCTTTCGCACGTGTGTCTACTCGAGACAATGTTCCCTCCACTCGCTGGAAATGGAAGGCCTCTCGTGCCCGAGGAAGATAGCATGATCTGCGGAGACCTCTCACTTTATAACGCTGAGAAGGTACCGCCGTAATATCGCGTAATTGTTCCACGCGGATATCTCAATTCTGATCTTCGTTTACGAAAAATTCAATCTCACGTGAAATGCGCGGTCCTTTTTCCGTCGACAGCTCCGCCGGAAGTTCGAAGCTTCATTAACAATTAGCGGCGCGACTAGCTAGACATTATCAAAGTGCAGGTTTCGCCGAAAGCTGCACTTTAGCGAATTAACGTAATATTAATTGAACGCAACGAAAATGCACCGTCGCGAATTTTTTTTCTCTCTCCCGTGGTGCGATTCGCAGTTATTCCCCAAGACGTCGACCGGCTGCAATATGCAGATTTTTCGCCGGTACAGCAGCGCTCAATCTCGGCGATGAAAAGCCGCCTGGCTTAACTGCACTTCTCCCGTCGTAACGTCCGTCGATGCCATCGCCATTCACCGCATCCGCCGCGGCGCGCATCTTCGCGACTCCGCGCGATATGCTTACGGTCGAAACGCGACGTTAAAACGTGCATGCGCCTTTCTCCGCCTATGAATAGCAAACGTCTCCGGGCCGCCGAAAGGAGCGTGACACGCGCGAGCGAGCTTCTTCCTTCGCCCCGGAGCTTTTCACGTCCCGTCCCCGAATCTCCTCTCGAGATGCGCGCGTGGCGCCGGGGCCTTTTCATCGTTATCTCCCGCCAGGGGCTTCGGTCCTTTCGAATGCAGCTCTCGATTCTCCGATACGAGCAGACAACTTTGCACAATCTGCGAGATTGCGTGCACACGGCGACAGCCAACTTTTCCGCGCGGGGCGATGCATCGCGCATAATGCAACGGCCGCGCGCCGCGCGCGTCCACTTATCCGCGCCTGATCGCGCGTCACGTCGGCAATGTAATCATCTCGTATAGATAGTGGACACGTGTGAAACTGATTGATAATGTTGAGTGTACGTCGATTTAATCATTTATGCGCCATGCGATTTTGCCCCGCGGCGATCCGCTTCGTCGCGCGGGTTCCCGAGTCGAGTATTTTGGCCTCAGTTTAGCCTCGTATAATTTTTCAATTGGAAGCAACGAGGTGGAACTGAGGTCTTCGCGTCGGACAAAATATATTCAACTTTTTACCTCAGTTAGGCCTGCAAAGCGTCGCTATTTCCCTTTCAGCAGTAAAGAGGCTACGAGTGTAATCAACAGAGGTAGATCCCTTTCGGCCCAAGAGGTTTCAAAGAGGGTGAAATATTCCATTACATCCTCTTCGAGGATTAGACTGAGGTTAAACACAATTTTTCTACTCATCTGGGCCTCAAATTGGCGCTTCGAACCGACTCCGAGGTCCAAATGAAGACGGAATAGAACAATTGAGGCCCCATTCCGGGACCAAATACTCGACTCGGGTTCGTAGACCGATACTACTTTTTACGATGAGAAAAGGACTCGTTTGTAACGAGCATCGCACGCGTCGTAATCATCGACGAATTAGCGTCGTTTCTCTTTCATACGCGTACGAGCCTACCGTCCATCCTAACGTCGTTAACATGCGCGCCGCCGCGAAAGTTGCTAATTTCCTAATTTCATACAAAGTTATTAAAGCCCCGGGACGCGCGTATTTTCCGATTACTTAGCGTCGGGTTACTCGCAAGAACGTATTTCAGATACACTGAACTCGCTGGATCGTGGATCTAACAAGCGCGCAAGTTTACAATCATTCCCTTAATTGAGAAATTCCCAGGTCGATCGTATTTCCGCGTATATTATCTCGTGTTATCAGTGAGTACACACATACGTAAGATTAGTAAGATATTTAAAAATACCGTTTCATTGGCGAATGAATAAGCCGAAGAGAGTACATTTCAGAGACGCGAAAATTTATTTGCGCACCATCAGCATTTTGATTTTAATCTACACTTTAAATAACAAGTTTGAAATTTCAAACATTTTTATTGTCGCCGTTTTCAAGATGTTTATTAGTGCGCAAAATGTCAAACATTTTATAAACGGTTCGTTTTAGTTGGTGTTTATACGCGTAAAAGTGTTTGATTTTCTGAATAACTGAAATGTTATGCATCTTGAATGTTTTATTTTTAATAATGCTATAACAAACGTTGCGTTGTTTTGCAACAAAAAAACAGTATATGTTTGTCATCATTTTTTAAGTCTTTTCGTCTTAAAGAAGTTTTTATTATAAGTTGGTAAGTGATTGTTTCATAAGCGTGTAATTAGAAAGTGTTTGAAATATAAATCTGTTTGAATTTCTAATAATCGAACACAAATTGTGTTTTAACGCTAAAAATAAATAAATTAAATATCCATACCAACTTTTACACACTGCACTCTAAAAATTAGTTCGTTGTAAGTGTTGAAATTATAAACAGAAAAATGTTTCACTTATCAAACACAATCTAACCGAATTTTGTTCCCGTTTGAAAATCAATATATCTGTTTAATTTGACTCTTGTTCGGTTTTAGTAACAATTTTACAAGGTTCTGCAATGTTTGATACAAAAGTGTTTGAAAGTCAGTCACTTCTATGTGGAAGTGCTTTAAATTCAAACGCTTTTCTAATTGTGTTTGATAAATGAAACATTTTTCCGTTTTTATGTTTATAAGTCAAACACTTACGATTAACTAATTTTTAGAGTGTAGGGTATAAAAGTTGGTATGGATTTTTAATTTATTTATTTTTGGTGTTTAGATAACAACACATTGTCGTTTGAATATATCATTTTAATAAAATAAAGCAGGATGTATTATTAATAAAACCTTTGTTTTATCTGTAATTCTGGGAAATGGGTTTAACAAACTGTTCCGAAATTACTCCGAGCCTGCCAGACGAATCGCTGAATAAATGATGAAACGGAAGCTATTTGACGGGACTAAATATATCGTGATATTATTTTGTCAGTTCTGACGTTTTGAAAGTTTAAATAGTTAATAACAAAGAAGATAAAATTTGTCTCGTTTTGACTCTCTCTATCTAGCAAAAATGAGGTATTTCTACGATGTGCCTCTAGTTCGGAATTTGATTAGAACAAATAGGATATGGATTCTTTGTTAATCTATCGGTTAACTGTATTGGCTACGAAAAATATAACGGTTATCGTGAATATCTGTGAAAAAATGCAGTATTTATACATGAGATAGCGCGATGCATAATTTTAAAGGGAATAAAACATTCTGAGTTTACCAATGATTAAACGAGTTTGAGTAAAAGTTTTAATCTCGAGTACGCGAGTACTTTTTATAGTTTGTAAGTAGATCAGACTTGTTCTCGAATTGGAACCTTTCAATACTTTATTGGACTTTAGCCGTTATATACCGAGTTAGATTTCCTCCATTAATATTCTTGTCCTTTTTTTATGATTGCAGGTGATCGCGCGAGAATGCGGTGACGTTGGGAAACTGCTTGACCCGAAAATACATATCGTAACGCACACATATGCGAGTTAATGAAAAAGAAGAAAGTCATATCCAACTTGCGACGTTAATGCACGTTGACGCAAGACCGTCTCGCCAGTTTCACGTTGACGCAACGTGGCGAGGAATGAAACGCGACATATCGATTGCTAAACGTATCACGTTACATGATTAAAACTCGGTAGACGTCTGCCGCGGCACATCTCGAACTGCAACATTAGTTTGGCGCAATTGAGAAATCTGTTTTATCTCACCCTCGTGTGATTTATCGCGACGGCGTCGGGAGAGATCAAGTTTGAAGAATAGTCTCGGCGAAGCGGGCGATAACGCGTGTACTATCGGTACGGAAAGTTATCGATGTTGCACGTCAGTGATTGTCAGTCATCTCGATTAGGATAAAGAATCGTTCTCCGGGGCCGGGGCGCTCGCTCCGTGAAATTCCTGGCGCGGTTGCTCGTGAAAGGAACGCGTCTACCGTGGATCTCCTCTCTCTACTCGGGCGTTTAATTAGCGTCCTCGATCGCGTAGAAAGGAGGAACTAGCCGAGGCGCCCGGACCTTTCGACGTCACACGGCGAGAGCCGACCGGAGGGAGGTTGAGGAGGGGCGGGAGGATGTTGCTGAGGTAACACGACATTTCGAGGCCGCACGAGAAGTACGATAATCGCAGCGCGGGAAGGTGTCGATCGCAGCAGGCGCATAAAGGAAGGATCGAGGAGCGGCGGAAGGATGGGTTTCCCCAGGAGAAGGTCGCTGTGGTTGAAGGTGGCGGTGCTGGCGACCGCCGTGTGGGTGACCGTCTGTTTCCTGCTCTACACGGAGGATCGGGCGGCGGTGGCCGCCGTTCAGAATTTGGCGCCGTCGGGCGTCGCGGTGCCGCAGCAAGCGGCGAACGGCTTTGTGCCGCCCGCGGCGCCGTTTAGAAAAGAGACGACCGGCAATGTGATCAGCAACAAGGCGAGGATCAATCAGGCTGGCCCGGAGCAAGGTACTTTCAACGAGATGTTGCTTTCGTTTTTCCCCCTTCCTTCTCTCTCGTTTATTCAGCTCATCTGCAAAATACCTTTTTCTTATTTTTCCGAGACTCTCGAACGTGATATAAATTTCAATTATTGCTCAGCAATATAGCTGGAAAGAGGGAAAAGATTCCGCTTCTGTTAGCAAATAAATAAGCATCTCTTTGTTCTCTTTTT